CCCCCCCCCCCCCCGCCTGGTCGCCTGGTCGGAGGGGGCAGAATACACGCAAAATACGGCCTTTTTCAGGCCGACTGGTTTTTTCTCGGGCGCTCATGCACGCGGGGTCGCGCATGCATAAAAATAAAAATATATGTTTCTTGCTCAAAAAACTACAAAGATTTCAACAAAAAAATCGAAAAACAGATCGGACACGGTCAAGGGCCCGTACAAATTTAGGTACCCTAACTTATGATACAGAGGAAGTATCACCTCAAAACCTGCTTGCGTACGATGAATGTACCGGCTAAAATGCGGAATGAACGCACATTCAGATCGAAATTGACCGAATCGCGCGCTTCACAGAGAAATCCATCCAACCCCAAGCATCCCAGATAGTGCAGCGCTTGGGCGTAGACGCCATCACCGCAGTGAGACTATGGTACGTGGGCTGGAGGTGGTCTCAGACACCCCCGACCTGTTCCACACCGGCCTTCCTACCAACTGCTTTCCAGCGCGCCAGTCGGGGTTGGATGGGTCATGGGGACGATTGGTCTGCGCTCTTTTTGTTCTCCATCGCAAGCTAGCCCGATGCGGAAAAGCATTCTACCGACCACCTTGTCGAACAGCTACTTACAGGTATTCCAAGGCCGTAAGACCCCCGAAGAATCCCTCAGGCAGCGTGGTGAGCTCGTTGGAGTACAGGGCCCTTCGGGTGTCGAGGGAAGGCCACGAGCGGAGCAGATAATACACATGAGCCAGGAATCAGTGTTTGCTGCCGCACATGCTGATCTACGAAACGCGGCCAGCCCACCAGCATGTACGCACGTCCTTCAGTTCAGTGGCGCTAGCAACGCCGCGGCCGCCGCGATGGGCTGGGTACAATCACAACAATCATGCCTTCTTCCCGCTACAGCGAAGGCGACGAGTTGGCAGTAGGAACCCGTTCCAGGGTTGCATTGAGAACACCGCCAATCGGATAAGAGGCTAGGATATGAGGCCAAGAGGGCACCACCATGTAAAGGCTCTAAGGCGAACGCCAGGAAGCGACAACTGATCCCGATACGTAGCACGATCCTTGGGTGCTCACGTTTCCAGCAACGCCAAGATCGCCTCTCTTATCACCTCAAAACCTGCTTACGTGTGATGAATGTACCGGCTAAAATGCCGAATGGACGCACATTCAGGTCGAAATTGACCGAATCGCGCGTTTCACAGAGAAAGCCATCCAACCCCAAGCATCCCAGATAGTGCAGCGCTTGGGCGTAGGCGCCATAACCGCAGTGAGACTATGGTACGTGGGCTGGAGGTGGTCTTAGACACCCCCGACCTCCTCTACACCCAACTTCCTACCAACTGCTTTCCGGCGCGCTAGTCGGACTTTCATGGGTCAACAGGACGATTGGTCTGCGATCTCTTAGTACTCCATCGCAAGCTAGCCCAATGCGGAAAAGCATTCTACCGACAACCTTGTCGAACAGCTACTTACAGATATTCCAAGGCCGTAAGACCCCCGAAGATTCCCTCAGGCAGCGTGGTGAGCTCGTTCTCGTTCAGGTACCTTCGGGTGTCGAGGGAAGGCCACGAGCGGAGCAGATAACACACATGAGCTAGGAATCAGTGCTTNGCCTCTTTGTCTCTTGTCACATCAAAACTTGCTTACGTGCGATGAATGTACCGGCTAAAACGCCGAATGAACGCACATTCAGATCGAAATTGACCGAATCGTGCGTTTCACAGAGAAATCCATCCAACCCCAAGCATCCCAGATAGTGCGGCGCTTGGGCGTAGACGCCATCACCGCAGTGACATGGTACGTGGGCTGGAGGTGGTCTTAGACACCGCCGACCTGTTCCACACCGGCCTTCCTACCAACTGCTTTCCGGCGCGCTAGTCGGACTTTCATGGGTCAACAGGACGATTGGTCTGCGATCTCTTAGTACTCCATCGCAAGCTAGCCCAATGCGGAAAAGCATTCTACCGACAACCTTGTCGAACAGCTACTTACAGATATTCCAAGGCCGTAAGACCCCCGAAGATTCCCTCAGGCAGCGTGGTGAGCTCGTTGTCGTTCAGGTACCTTCGGGTGTCGAGGGAAGGCCACGAGCGGAGCAGATAACACACATGAGCTAGGAATCAGTGCTTGCTGCCGCACATGCTGATCTACGAAGCGCGGCCAGCCCACCAGTATGTACGCACGTCCTTCAGTACAGTTAGACCTCGAGATTTGAAGTTTTTCAGGGCGAAAAAATGTCCTTGGTCGCTAGCCGAATAGACTTTTTAAAATATTTTCCAACCAATCAAAACAGAAGGATGGGCGGACACGTCACAATATTTTGGACAAGCCCGAGACTTCTTTGTCACCACATGCACGAGCTGGGTACAGCTCACCCTCTGTGCATTTCCGCCTGCCACAAGTCCGGTCACGGCATCGCCGAATGCTACACATCCGTTACCGAACCTTGTCGGTGACGGACCGCCGCGGCGGTTTGTTGCGGTGTGTGCGCAAAACCCAAAGGAAGCGATCACCCGGTTCAGGTTTTCGAACTCAACGGGAAAAAAACGAGAAACCTGGCCAAAGGCCTTTGATATCCAGTATAAAACGTATGTTCTCAGTCTTCCGGGGTGCGGACAAAAAATACAAACCGGGTAATTCATAAGAGTATGATCTGTAGACAGGTGTTGTAAAGGTTGAAGCCCTAACTCTCCACCTGGGGCCAGCACTTTCGATTGTTAAATCCCGGTCTCAATCCAAGATAATAATATTTTGGCAACAGAGTCAGGAAAAAAAAAAAATGTTTTCTGGGCTGGTTGTTATGCCGATATTTGCTGGTCGTTAGCGATCTAATCTCTCGAGGTCTAACAGTGGCGCTAGCAACGCCGCGGCCGCCGCGATGGCCTGGGTACAATTACAACAATCGTGCCTTCTTCCCGCTACAGCGAAGGCGACGAGTTGGCAGTAGGAACCCGTTCCAGGGTTGCATTGAATACACCGCGCATAGGATAACAGGCGCTAGCAACGCCGCGGCCGCCGCGATGGCGTGGGTACGCCTCTTTGTCTCTGTTACATCAAAACCTGCTCACGTACGATGAATGTACCGGCTAAAATACCGAATGAACGCACATTCAGATCGAAATTGACCGATTCGCGCGTTTAACACAGAAATCCATCCAACCCCAAGCATCCGAGATAGTGCAGCGCTTGGGCGTAGACGCCATAACGGCAGCGAGACTATGGTACGTGGGCTGGAGGTGGTCTCAGACACCCCCGCCCTGTTCTACACCGAACTTCCTACCAACTGCTTTCCGCCGCGCTCGTCGGGGTTAAATGTGTCATGGACCCGATTGGTCTGCGATCTCGTAGTTCTCCATCGCAAGCTAGCCCAATGCGGAAAAGCATTCTACCGACAACCTTGTCGAACAGCTACTTACAGATATTCCAAGGCCGTAAGACCCCCGAAGATTCCCTCAGGCAGCGTGGTGAGCGCGTTCTCGTTCAGGTACCTTCGGGTGTCGAGGGAAGGCCACGAGCGGAGCAGAAAAACCTGCTTACGTGCGATGAATGTACCGGCTAAAATGCCGAATGGACGCACATTCAGATCGAAATTGACCGAATCGCGCGGGTCACAGACAAACCCATCCAACCCCCAGCATGCGAGATAGTGCAGCGCTTGGGCGCGCCATAACGGCAGCGAAACTATGGTGCGTGGGCTGGGGGTGGTCTCAGACGCCGCCGACCTGTTCCACACCGAACTTCTTACCACTTAGTACTCTATCGCATGCTAGCCCCATGCGGAAAAACATTCTACCGACGACCTTGTCCAACAGCTACTTACAGGTATTCCAAGGCCGTAAGACCCCCGAAGATTCCCTCAGGCAGCGTGGTGAGCNGTCTCAGACGCCGCCGACCTGTTCCACACCGAACTTCCTACCAACTGCTTTCCGGCGTGCTAGTCGGACTTTCAAGGGTCAAGAGGACGATTGGTCTGCGAACTTAGTACTCTATCGCAAGCTAGCCCCATGCGGAAAAATATTCTACCGACAACCTTGTCCAACAGCTACTTACAGGTATTCCAAGGCCGTGAGACCCCCGAAGATTCCCTCAGGCAGCGTGGTGAGCTCGTTCTGGTACAGGTACCTTCGGGTGTAGAGGGAAGGCCACGAGCAGAGCAGAAAACACACATGAGCCAGGAATCAGTGCTTGCTGCCGCACATGCTGATCGCGATGGCCTGGGTACAATCACAAAAATCATGCCTACTTCCGGCTACAACGAAGGCGACGAGTTGGCAGCGGGAACACGTTCGGGGGTTAGATTGAGTACACCGCCAACCGGACAAGAGGCTAGGATATGAGGCCAACAGAACACCCTTACGTAGAGGCTCTACGACGAATGCCAGGAATCGACGGCTGATCTCGATACGTAGCACGATCCTTGGGTGCTCACGTTTCCAGCAACGGGCTGGAGGTGGTCTCAGACACCCCCGACCTGTTCCACACCGAACTTCCCACCAACAGCTTGCCGCCGCGCTAGTCGGGGTTGAATGGGTCATGGGGACGATATGTGTCTTTGGTTGTTGCTTAGGTGACAATAATGTACCTTATCGCTTGGCTGTATGCTTGCCTCAAGCCGACTTGTACCAACACAGCACTTTGAAAAGGCCGCTTCTAACAACAAAAACAACCGGCCAATACCGACCCCCATGGCATAGGGACGCACTCACAGAACTCTGATTGCTTCTGGCCCGGCAGCTTCCAAGCACGACGCCAGATCGTCCAAATCGGCATCTGTTATGCCGCAGGAAAAAAGGTTCCTGGGGGAATGTTGCGTACACCAAGTAACGTATCAAGTCTTGCTCTCTTAGTCGTGCGGCGGTGTTGTTTTGCAGGAAGCGCGTGAAAATGCGTGAATAAATACCTTAACAAATGCTCTGATCTCAACAATACTGCGCAGCGTTAAACGTTTCCCGACCAACGGGTACCGGAGATTAGATAATAATGAATACCGCCGATCTTGGAGCGACCATCACCTAGAAAATTGCAAAATTACATCCTGCAAGGTAACTCAATCCTCCGGCAACGAGCAATGCCGAGCATCAACGGGTGCCTCGCCAGCCACCATCAAACACGTTTGGGGTCTTGCATATCAAAAACATAACATTCGGTGCGGGCTTACAAATATCCATCATCAATCTGGCAGCTGTCGTCGTCCGTCGTGTCCAGGCATACATTAACTGAAACCAACGGCGTACGCAGGACAGACGGCAAATGAGAGGGGATGGGTGGGCGGGTGGTGAGATTGACACAAAACTGTCAGCAGCTGCATCCGAAATTAATATTGCGGAGTCGACCAGGGCACGGCAATGACGGGGGAACCGCCAACGTATCCAATCGACTACTGCAAGGACATACAGCATCGCACGATTCGACAAATCCTGTAGCGTGAGATCGACCCCTCCGAAACAGGAGCAAATATCGCGGCAGGCAATGTCTTCGAGAACGACCCAGCACGCCAGCGGCACCAACCTTGGCCTACGACGTAGACTTTCACCTTCCCAAAAAAATCGGTCACTCTGGTCAACAAATTCTTCATGAGGTACTGTAAGGAGATGGGGAGCCGCTCACGATTGTGGCTTTGCAATCACCAACTTCACCGGGAAAATCGGCTACTCAATACTCCAAGAGATGAACAAACGTGATGTGATCACACCTCGTCCTGCGGTGGATCCGGTGTTCGCAAGCGAATGAATCCCCCCCTGATCAGTGTCTACCTGCCGGTCTACTAGGCGAATGGTAACAGCACTTACATGCCAGCGGATGGATCAGCATACTGGTCTGCCCCAATGTTGCTCAAACGAACCCATCCACCCACCTGCGGAGGTATCCAACAACGTGGAGAGCCCAAGCAGAATAGTCGAAGTCACCTCCAGCACTATCCTGCGCCGCGTCCAGAAAAATGGCCGAAAAGATGAGTTGCACGTTACGGGAAAGGACGGCGTGGACGGATTGTGTAAGGAGAGTCTTCGGCGTTGTACTTGTAGTCGCCGGCCACAGCGAATCCAAGACCAGCATTTGAAACTCCAGCGGAGGGTTAGATACACCAACTAGTCCCCTCTTGAAGATCCCTTCGAATTTATACTGGACACGTCCTCGATTTTGTATAAAAAATACGTTGCGGACAGCCGCGCGCGCGCGTGTGTGCGTTTGCGGCCTGGATGAAGCGTGTCTCGCACAGCATCACAGACCGAAAATACTGCAACGTTCCGAGTCGTTACCCGTGGCTCATTTACCGCGCCCTACTACATCAGTATTGGGTTTGGTGAAGAATAATTGGTTTTCTTCACGGTTGTCAGCGGCCCCCTTCGGACAACCCATGTTTTGGTTGACATACACCGATAGAAAACTTCTTGTTTGCTCCACCCCGCAGATCTNCGTCCTCGATTTTGTATGAAAAATACGTTGCGGACAGCCGCGCGCGCGCGTGTGTGCGTTTGCGGCCTGGATGAAGCGTGTCTCGCACAGCATCACAGACCGAAAATACTGCAACGTTCCGAGTCGTTACCCGTGGCTCATTTACCGCGCCCTACATCAGTATTGGGTTTGGTGAAGAATAATTAGTTTTCTTCACGGTTGTCAGCGGCCCCAATCGGACAACCGATGTTTTGGTTGACATACACCGGTGGAGAAACTTCTTGTTTGCTCCACCCCGCAGATCTTCACCAACAAAGCCCCAAGCGATCTCAAACCAACTGCATCCTGTAGGTACGGGCTACAGCTATTATCAATCGTAGCTGCTTACAGCTAAATAGCACCATGGTGCCAGAGATCTGCTGGTGTACCTACCTGGTCTACAGCACCTTCATTATTACCTCAAATACACATGTGTTGTATTTACTTCTACCTTCACAGGAACGCGTCGTGGTGTCTCTTTACAACTTGCTTGTACTGTTGCGGTTGATCAACGCCATGAACTGCATGTCCAAATCGAGGCGGATGAACCATCTGTTCTGTGTCTTGGATGACGCATCTAACCCCTGTCGGCTCGTTGACGCCATATTGATAGCATCCGCAGTGATGGCAGAGCGTCAGCAGTTAAGGATGTTCNTGTCCAAATCGAGGCGGATGAACCATCTGTTCTGTGTCTTGGATGACGCATCTAACCCCTGTCGGCTCGTTGACGCCATATTGATAGCATCCACAGTGATGGCAGAGCGTCAGCAGTTAAGGATGTTCTTAAATTTTATGAACATGTAGAGAAAGAAGTGGTGCGGATATCTTTACCGATATGCACACGACCAACAGGAATGTGTTCACAAATAATTACCACCTGAAATATCGTTATCAGCAGGAAGGGATTCTCGCTAGCATATCCAAAGGTAGAAGGCACCACTGCAGCCGTACAGATAGACATCCTTCCGGGCTGATGGTGGAGGCGATGGCAGGAATACCAGCCGGGCGTGCCCCAATTTTTTCCGTCGTATCCCTCCCCCCCTTTCCCGCGCCACCCTGGTTGGCCATCGGGGTTGGGTTTTCGTCGCTTGGCAAAGACGTTGTAAAACAAGCCAATTCACTTCGTGAACTCGGCAGTCAGGTTATCGTTTGTTTTTTTACCTCCGGCGTTTTTTATTTTGGCGGTAACAATTATGGTGGTCGAGTAGATCATGTTGTGCGGGGTCGAGAACCCTCGCTCCGCGCAAGGGGGATGATCGCACCACGTTGTGTGAAAATGGTCAAGCACCCTCGAGGCAGTTACCCAGTGCTTACAACTGTCTCTGGAAGTGAAAGCACCAGAAAGTAAATTAATTCATACGCAGCTGTCATCCGTACGCAAGGAAGTAAGCACAAGATGCCGAACACCCTTAGCAGGATGCAGCGCACCCTTCATGCGACTCGCCGAATATCTCACGGCGGTTCGCGCTTGGTGATGTGAGAACCCGGCTGGTCCGGTGAGAACCCGGCGTGGCTCCGTCCCGGCTTTGTAGGGATGCGAGGTCAATGGTCTCACGACTACGGCATTGCACGACATTGCGTACCCCCCCCCCCCCTCCTCGTAGTGCCCCCGGCGTGATGTTGTTGTCATCATTAGTCATTCATTCGTTTGGTCTCCCATTAGAATTTGCCTGTCTCGTTGTTCCAGTGAAGCGTTGGAGGAGCCCTGTGTATTTCCTTTTCGTTTCCATTTCTCTTTTCTGCTCCCGTCCCTTTTTGACCGCTGTTGATCGTTTCCCGGTTAGATTTTTATAATCGTTTGGGTAGAGGCCATCGCGTCTTTGTTTTACTTTACAAGAACAGTGCACCCCTTTTGGGGGGGGGTAGATGGATTGTGACCACGGGAGCGCCGCTGCCGTTGGACCAGTACGGACATTTGAAGGTATAAAGCGGACACCAGAGAACGGTTCGTAATGTGAAGATAACAACACCAACAACCGCAGTGGTCAGGATCAAGATAATCTTCGTGCAATACAACTCGCTTAAACCGTTCCGTCTTGCCTCAAGTCCTAACGGAGAAGGCTACAGTTCAAAGGTGTGGTACCACGGCAGGATCCGAATGCCCGCTGCTCCAAACTTAGACGGGAGGTCATGCGGGTCGGTTCATTCAGCGTGATGCACCAAGCTGATGTGCAGCGTGTTGCTTTTCAGGTATGATGATATTGTTTTGTCTAGGGTGCGATTTTGTTGCTTCTCGATGAAAAAGACATGTCCCTGATTGGTTTAGCCTTGTGGGCGCCAGGTAAGACGATGGGGGTGCGGCCGGATCTACTTGCAGTGCCGGTGTGTCCGGCATAATAAAAAATTTACAGTGCTGGGGAATTTTTCTTGCGCACACTGCGCGAAAAACAAGCGGGGACCTCTGCTGGTACCTGTATTTCTACGGTTCCCAGGGTAGCACACAGCGGTCTCCACTCACCATGGGTAACGGGCTTTCAACAAGACAGTTTGGCAGCCAGCCGTAGTGTATCTGACTGCCTGCATGAAGGTTATGCTGGAACCGTGTAATGCTGAATGTATATAGAGGACTTTTTCGGAGTGTTGTTGAATGTCGGTATGTTGTTGTACCCTTCACAAATTTGTTTTGACACGCGTGCGTATGTATGTGCATACGCAAAACGTGTCATGACGGTGAGAGACTTCACTCAGTTTCCGCGTGTTTTATCCCTGACTGGCGGCGGGTGTTTGTGACGTCGCGATTGTGGCATTAGGGCGTACGCGAGCTTCAGCGGGCGAACGTTGGCAGGTTTACACACACAGTTGGCGCGCAGGCAAAGGCGTGTCGGTCTCGGTCGAAATCAAGTCGATTATCGTTTGAAAAAAGCAATACCAACGAACGAAGCGAGGAGGGAAGGCAGTACAATCGATTCCTTACCTCTTGGGTCAAGAATCAAGGTAAATGCCTCCAGGCTGCCAACTGTGTTCACTTTGTCTGTAGCAACATCGGGTTTCTTGGTCACGTCGCTTGATCCCCAACCTAGCTCGCTTGTGGAACGAGCGAACCCAACACCATTGACGCATCGCAAACTCAGCGTCCTGGTGTTCATACAAGAATCGCCAGGAATTCCTGATGATCGAGTTCCGTCCATTCCCGATGAAATCATGTAAAGGTGTTTGCCCCCTTTGCATGATTTCATCGGGAAGGATCTCCACGACTGCGGTACTCGCTCTCGCCGCTCGTTCAATTGGAGCACCAACGGCCGACACATCCGCCCTCTGCTACATGTCGGTGAAGTCGTGGTCCCGATATAGTTACAATCTCAACCATTTATAGTAGCGTTGTACCGCTATTGAGGACGGGACCCTGAAAAGCTGCATTTGGAGCATCTCATCCCCCCAAAAGTGGCAATTCAAGCCGCCGGAGCCCCCCTGATTGTTGACGCACGCACCAACGACACACATGGCACACACAGCAGCGGGCGCCACGCCACANCCGCTCTCTCAATTGGAGCACCAACGGCCGACACATCCGCCCTCTGCTAATACATGTCGGTGAAGTCGTGGTCCCGATATAGTTACAATCTCAAACCATTTACAGTAGCATTGTACCGCTATTGAGGACGGGACCCTGAAAAGCGGCATTTGGAGCATTTCATCCCCCCAAAAGTGGCAATTCGAGCCGCCGGAGCCCCCCTGATTGTTAACGCACGCACCAACGACACACATGACACACACAGCAGCGGGCGCCACGCCTCACGTAATCATGCCGGCATATACGCGGATCTAGAACTATGTAAATTTGAAACCGACCGCTTGGGGAGAAGGACGTGCTCGCAAACCGCGCGCTGGCTTTTCTGACGATGAGCTAGAACTAGACAAGCGTCAATGCCCCCGTGATGGGCTCCATCCGCGTTTTCACGAGTATACTGGTGCAAACAACAAAAGAGGGACCCCGGATACATTCACAACGCATACGAGTGAACATCGAAGAAACAACTGTTCAATAGGGGCATTGTTGCCATTATATCCACAAGTGGCATTGCCATGGATAGTGGCACATTTTTTTCTACACACCACAATATCGGGACCACTACAGTACAAAATCACCATCAGTACCCGCAGCACGGCCATCAGCTGCACGTTTCGGGAAAGGACGGCGTGGACGGATCGAGTAAAGAGAGTCTTCGGCGTTGTACTTGTAGTCGCCGGCCGTATCAAATCCAAGAACAGCATTTGGCACTCCAGCGGGGGAACGGATGCACCAACCAGTCCCCTCTCGAAGATCCCTTCGAATACATATTGGACACGTTCTTTATTTTGCATAAAATCTTGATTGCGGACCGCTCCGCGCGCGCTTGTGTGCGGTTGCGGCTTGGATGAAGTGTGTCTCGCAGAGCAAAACCCTGCAACGTTCCGAGTCGTTACCGGTGGCTCCTTTACCCTGCTCTACTACAACAGCATTGGGTTCGTCGAAAAAAAATTAGTGTTCTTCACGGTTGTCATGGGCCCCCTTCGGACAACCGATGTTTTGGGTGACCTCCACCGGTGGAGAAACTTCTTGTTTGCTCCACCCCGCAGATCTTCACCCACAGACCAGCTGCATCCTGTACGGGCTACAGCTATTATGTATCGTAGCTACTTACAGCTAAATAGGACCATGGTGTCAGAGATCTGCTGGTGTACCTACCTGGTCTTCAGCACCTTCATCTTTTACTCCGTAACACATGTATTGTACGTACATTCTACAATCACAGGAACGCATCGTGCTGTCTGTTTACAACTTGCTTGATTGTATTGTTGCGGTTGATCTACACCATGTACTGCATGTCCAAATCGAGGCGGATGAACCATCTGTTCTGTGTCTTGCTTGAATGACGCAACTAGCCCCTGTCGGCTCGTTGACACCATATTGATAGCA